AGAAAAAATGTACACCTGGTTGTGTTATGAACATTAAAAATGTTATATATATCTTTGTGATAATATATTAATAATCTAACATTAAACATATATGTATGTACATTATATATGCACAAAATATTAGAACTGGTGTTATATTCAGGGAATAGAACAGCAAAGTTGTTATTTGAAACAACTTAGAAAAAACATGTAAAAAGTAATATTGATAATATTAATAAAAAATACAATAATGAAAAAGTAAAAAAAACATTGATGTTATGAAATAGAAGGTAAAGATCATATTATATTCCATGTGATTGAGACAGTGATGTATGAATATCATCACAGTGGAAGATATAAAGCCTTTTTGCCTAATAATATTGTTGTGTACCCCTTGTAAATTTCATTACAGATAATGATATTGCTCATTTTTATATTATCATGATTGCTGTAATAGAAAAAGTAAAATAATCCATTTGACCTTTTTATGGTCACAGGCACAGTTTAAAATTTGAATAAAAATGGGCAGTTTCATTTGAAAAAGTTCAAAATATCTCATGAAATTTGTACTTAAAAATGAATTTAATCATTCCACAACCATAAAATTCAGTATTTCTGTAAATTTTACAGAACAAATACTACATACTTTTCTGGCAGTTATTAACAGAAAGATTTTATAAAGGATGAGTAATGCAAGTATAGATCTATAGTGGTATTTATATTTTGCAGGATGAATGAAGAACACTAGTACAGATCCAGTATTTATATTCACAGGGATTAACCTATATTTACTAAGAGACAAAAAGGAGCAAGAGATTACTAGGTTTATATTCAGACTGCCAAATATATTCAACAGCTCAAACTTTTACCTATATATATTTTCATTGTGATGTAACTGGAATGAATGTCCATCAGGTGTACTTATAGATGTCAGCCGATTTTAATAACTTTAACCTGCGTTTTTTTGGGAATGTACATCCTAAAATATTCCAAAATATAATAAATGTGTGTGATATTCATAGCATTCCAGATGAAGTCTTAAGGCAGGCCCTTCAGCCATGGTGTACTTAATGAAATGAATGACCTTTTGCATAAGGATGGTAAATGCCAAAAAGTATTTTTTATACATAGAATTAGGATCTGTGGTGATGATATTGATATTCAATGGATACGTTCAAGTTTTGTAAAATATGTACATAAATTATAAACACTGTATTATCTTTTGGCTATCATTACCAAAATTGATATTATCAATAAAAGAGTATATATATAGACAGACATATAATTTTCACTGATATATTATGCATAACTGTTTTGTATCTGCTAACTTTGCTGAATATTTTTAAAAATATATTTTTTATTTCTGCTTTTGCTACTACAGCAAGATATCATTCAATCAATCATATAGAATAGGAGAAATATACACTTATAGCAGAATTTCACCCTAAGAAAACTATATGGACAGTCATTACAATATATATTATTAGAAATTAGTTAGAGGGGTTACCTAAACTAAAGCCAGTATATATCAAGACATGGTAAGTTTGATTAAATTTGTACTTATCACATAGCACTCCAATCAGAGAATAATGAAGTTACTACAGCCATTCACTGGGACAGGCCAGGTTGCATATTTCCATGACATTTCCTGTTTATTTATTTATAAAAGCATTAAACGTAGTCTGGTGTAGTTGCAAACTCACTACCACATACTTTTTCTAATCATATGTAAGTCTTACAGTTAGCTGAAACAATGTGTGGTACATTTACCAAATAAAAAAGAAAATTACCTAGCATTTGAGGGTCACTGCGATGTGCATCTTTACTGAAAACCTAAGAATGAACTCATGGACACATGTCTATCTATCTATCTGTTTATCACCATAGACAGATAGATGGTTAATGATTACAAAGCAAAATGAATGGGCTGGACATCAAAGGTCATATAGCACTGTAGTAGTGAAAAGGTTAAAGATGATTTAATGTTCCACTTGTCAGAATTTTTATAGCAGTTAAGGATAGTATGACACGGAAAGGGGAAAAGAACAGTGAAAGTAACAAGGGTAAGAAAATGAGCTAAGATAGGTGAAAGTTGTCAAAGGAAGAAGTGTGGGATTCTGCAAAGATGTCTATAGGGTAAGATAGGAACAAGTAAAAGGAGAATAGGAAGTTTAAGGGCGATTAGTTCACAGTTTCAGGAGAAATGTCAGAAGGGAGAGAATCCAGGGTAGGGGGTTATTTTGACATAAGGGAGTCCTATGTATATCCCAGTGGAATAGGGATGTGTTAGGAGGGAGTAGAAGAAAGGGGTGTATGGGGAACATGAGTAGGAGGAGGATGGATGTCAGCAGTTACTTTGAGTAGAAGGAATGGGAGCAGAGAGA